TATATATATTTTTTTTTTTTAACCAAAAACCACACTTAATTTTGATACATTTCTCAGAAAACAAAACATAGTGCATCTAAGGTAAATAAATCTTGATTGAAGAATGTTTAGATTTGTACTGGAAAACAAGACAAAAATACTGAGTAAGAAAATGACTGCATAGTGTGTTACAATGATTAAGCTTAAGTAGAATATTAAGAGTTGTTTCTCTTAGAAAATACTGTTTGCCAGATTTCCTGGATGTGGTTTCGGAATAAATAAGTCATACTCTAATTCTCAGCTGAAAATACATTTTTATTCCTGGATCAGGCTCAATATGTCTGTCACTCTACCAGTTCATCGAACATTTGCCAAATGTCTGTCTTTGCAGTGTGTCAGACTGGGACGTTCGGCACTAACTGCGCTCAGACATGCTCGTGTCCCCCCAACCATTCCTGCGACCCTCACACTGGAAACTGTGTGTGTGCACCTGGACCAGGCGGGGACTGCAAACCAGGTATTAAAAGCAGCCTAAAAACATTTGATTTTCTGTATGTTAAACACTGAAATGTTAATGGCTATCAGTGTGTGTAATGTGAATGGCTGTGTGTTTTTCAGAGCAAGAGCTGAGTATGATGGTGCCCGTGTCTCCGGTGGAGAAGGACTCGTGGGGTGCGATCGCAGGAATTGTGTTGCTGGTGATTCTGGTTGTGCTCCTGTTGGCTGTTTTGTTGTTGTATCGGCGCAGACAGCAGGACAAGCAGAGCAACACACCCGTTGTGTCTTTCTCTTCAACCCGCACCGTCAGTTCAGAGTACGCTGTGCCAGGTATGAGCCACAGGAGTTTTTGATACTTTCAGTAGTGCCTCATTTGCACAAATTAGACGATAAGGAATTTATATACTAAAAATCTGATGTATTTATAAACATTTTTATTTTGTATTTGCTTATTTCTTGTAGATGTTCCACACAGCTACCATCACTATTACTCAAACCCGAGTTACCACACACTGTCTCAGAACAGACCTCCACTGCCACACCTGCCCAACAACCAGGACCGAGCCATCAAGGTGAGTAATACTATGGTATTATATGTACAATAACATGGTATATACCATGTTTGGATTAGCATACTAGCATTTTACTCTTACTATATGAATATTGTGCACAGTATGTAAATTGTCATTAGCCAACCTGTACACTATGAATTTTGTTAGCTCTGTCACAAATTGCTTCAAATGTTACTCATATGTAAGTCACTTTGAATAAAAGCTAAAAGTTAAATGTTCAGTGTATCCCAGAATGCAGTCTATTTAACTGCATTAACCTTCCATCTCAAATGTAATGAATTCATGAGATAAAAAGTCAATTAGTAAAAATGAGATAAAAAGTGTATAAATTAAAATTGAGATACAATTCTAATTTATGAGATTAAAAAGTCATTAGTACAAAACGTATTTGGTAACACTTTATTTTAAGGTGTACTTGTTATATGTTACATGCAGTGTTGGGGAGTAACTAGTTACATGTAACGGCGTTACGTAATTTAATTACAAAATAAATGTAACTGTAATCAGTTACTAAGAAAAAATGTGTAATTAAATTACAGTTACTTATGAAAATGTTAACGATTACAAAGGGGATTACATTTGAATATTTACACACATCCACATACAGATTTAACTGATTTCTTT